CGGTGGGGCCATGCATGCTGAAACACACACACACACACACACACACACACACACACACACACACACACACACACACGTGAGATACATGATGCAATTTCCTTGGCGTGGGACAGCACAGCTGGATGGTGGATGGGCTACGGAAACCAACCTGTGCACGAACTTCTTGACCACCTCCATGCCACCGTTGAGCTCGTTAAGTGCCAGGATGTACTCCTGCGTGAAGAGACGCAGGCGGGGACACTTGCCGAAGTCCTGTCGGGGGAGGGGGGGGGCGGAGGAGCAGTGTCAGAAACGGGAAGGGTTGTGTTGACTGTAAGGACTGCAGTATGTCGCCAGAGGGGGCGCTCACCATGTTGTGCTTTAGGATTCTCTGGACCACGGGAGTGAACACCTCGATGACCACCATGGACCGCGGCCGCTCCCGGCAGTGCTGAGGGACGACATGCAGCATGAACATGCGACACGCAGCATGAACATGCGACACGCAGCACACCCGTTAAGCGTAAACGCACCCCACGCGCACAATGCTAACTATTCCACAGCCGAAGACCTCGTCCACACCCAAAATGCCTGCTTAATTAACCCCGCCTCAGTTAATGATGAAGATGATGCACGGGCGACAGGCAGGGGCCGCTCCTTAATACCTTGCAGAAGAATTCACACAGGTCAGGAGGCGGATGGTTGTTCTCCAGAAGCGGGGCGATGGCCTGCGGGGAGAGGGAGGGCGTTGAGACACGGAATACCGAAACCATGGCGATGCTTAAGCTGGGCCACCGCCTTCACTACAGACTCACCACGATGATGTTCTCATGCTCCAGAGTGCTCAGATTGGAGTTCTGCAAGTGGGGGGGCAAAGGGAATGGGATTAAACAGGCTTGGCAACCATGTAACTACCGTCGGCCTGCCAGTAATGTCCATTAAAATATCAGAATATCGAATTGTACAGGGTATCAGTTTCTGTTGGTTCTGGGCCAAGGCCACCATAGTTGATGCAGTAACCCCCCCCCCCCCCCGGCAAGTGGGACAGAGGCAAGAGAAGGCTGTACCTCTGCCAGCAGGGTGGAGATGATGTGCAGGGGGGTTTGCTGGATGGACTCGTCCTGCAGAGGCGAGGTGAGGGCCATGTCCACCAGAGCCCGGATCTCCTTCAGCACCACGTCCCAGCGGCTCGGATTCTTCAGAACCTTCCTGTATTTGTAGATCTTTTTCTGCGATTGAGAGAGATGACAGGGGCTAGGAAGAGCGGCGGGACCGCGCACGCGAACCCGCACACAAACGGCACGAGACGCTCGCGGCACACAGGCCTGTGCAGAGAGAACAGCGGCACCAACATGGGAAATGAGGACCGCTGAGAGGCCAAAGCACACAGCAACTCAGAACCAGAATGTCTGCTTGACTCAGACTGAGACCTCATGCTATTTAGATACGAATAGGTCTCCTGTCAAGTTCTTGTAAACTATTGTAATGTACTGTATATAGTACTGTCTTAGGCAGGCAAAGAAAATGTTTAAAGCTATTTATTTTTGCGTATAGAGAGTGTATATCTGCTCTAGGGATAAAAAAAAACACAATATGACATTAGAACACATGCAACTAACAGGAATTTTTTCTGTTCTCCAAAAAGTTCCTGATATCTCGTTGGAGGGCCAGATAAGCGCCGCTTCAGTTCCCAAACCTCTCCTCAGGGGCGTCTCAGCCATTCCACGTATTTGTTAAATTTCACCACCAGCTCAATTAATTAGATTATTGAATCAATTACCTCAATAATTAGCTATACAAGGTGTGCTAGTGGTCTAGTCAAAAAATACATGGGTGTATTGTGTGGTTGCTGCAAATACTGGGGCGAGGTTTTGAAACGGCTCAGCTGACACACTTCGACAGGCATAATATCGTAGCTTTACACAAACATGAAGATCATTTAAGCCTCATTTTCTCTGACTGCCTAAGACTTTAGCCCTGATGCTAACGCACACTTGCTCCCGCCCTCTCAGTGTAAGCCGATTCCAGCCACACCTCTGCCTTAACGGCTCCTTGCCCGAAATGCCCCATCTGACTCATACGTCACTTTGGACAAGAACGTCTGCTATGTAAGAAAACGCTAAGTGCAAAGATGAATACGGAGACGACGTGACGCTACCTTCCACTGCAGAGAATGGAACCATTGGTCCCGCAGGTAGCCATTTGCAGCCTGAAAGAGAGAGAGACAGACACACAGAGTGACATGGAGGACGCTTCCCTCACAACAGACGCAGACACACAGACAAACTTCAGGCTTCCTGTTCGCAGCACTGAGATATACAACTGCTCAGGGTTAAGAACAGAGAAAGACAGACATGGCTGTGCATCTGTCCCATTTACATTTTCATAATTATTTACTTTATTTTAAATATGCCGGAGGTTTTTCAGCTTCAGGAAGTGTTCATCTTCTACTCGCAGACAGAACCCCCACCAAAGCAACCGGTTCGAGCCCGGCCACGATAAGCAGAGCCAGAGTAAAAACAGTAAAGAGGAAAAAATGTCTAATGTAAATGTCGCCGGTGTCTAAAAAATGAAGTATATGAATATTTCTCTTTTTTTACAGCTGCTACCCATCACCCTGGACGGGGTGCCAGGCCACACGGGCACACACACACACGGGCACTCTGGGTAACCGACCTGCCTGCATATCTGCAGCCTGAAGAAGCAGCCCTACCCTAAATGGGAAGATGATGGCAGAAGCATGCAGCGCGGGGGTGGGATTCATATGAAACCAGGCAAAAGGCATGACTGTAATCTGATGGTAAAGGGTGTCCGCAGGATTCAGTTCCCCTTTTTCATTCATTCCCTCCCTCGTTTTCATCCTGTGGCCGCTGTGTTTTGGCTATTCTGTTACTGTTAATTTGGGCATTTGGTTACGTCGGACTCAGGTTTCAGTAGGAAGGCCGAAGCCGATTTCGGCAGCGTGTCGAGACGTGTGGAGCCAACAGGGGGCGCCGTCGAGGACTGTTACCTGGAGCAGGACGGTGCCCCCCGGGAAGCTGAGCTGGAGACAGTATTTGGGGGCGTTGTCCCAAGTCAGCAGCTGGATGTCCTCGATGGTGCTATAGGACAGCGCTGACTCCATGTAGCCCGTGGGCTGGGAGAGAGGGAGCGAGACAGAGAGTCAGTGAGAAAGTGTATATAGACGCACGCACGCAATTAAATCTTTGTGGGGAATCATTCATTTCTATGGCTAATCCCCACAATGGCAACCCTAACCCCCACCCAGCCCTAACAAACATAAGTAACCAAATAAAACAAATAAAAACACTTTTGGCATTTTTTGATTACATTCACAGATCTTTGTGGGGACCTGAAAAATGGTCCCCACAATGTCAAAATGACAGGTTTTAATCACACACACACACACACACTTGAGTGGTCTAAAGGGTTAGGATGCGCCATCTATCCACACACAAAAAGAACCAGAATCAGTCACTTTCAGACCATAATGACACCCAGTCGACGTATCATGTATCAGTTCAAAATCCACTGGTCAGCTTCCCTTTGCCTGGATGCCGACAGACTCATCCGGGACGTGACCGACGCCTCGAACACATCTGTCCGTGTAAATCGAGATCCCGCTACAGGAACGGTCTGCAGCAGCAAGAGAACGACGTCTGCCCTTCACAGCAGACAGGAAACGCAGTGCAGCCGCGCAAACGCAGCCGAGCCAGCCACACCGACACAGGTCTGCACACGTCTGCCAAGGCCAAGGCACTCTGATCTGCATCATGACCCGAGTTATGGGCACACCCCCGACTCCCATCGTCACGAAAGCAGCAGTTGATGACGATTCATACCAGAACCACTGTGCGGATACCCAGTTGCAGGCCAGATGTTTTTAAACTGTGAGAATTTCCCTGGAAGTGTTTCGTCAGAAAGCTGCATACCAACGCAGCCTCAGAGCTGAGCTGACCGTTTACTGGGAATTTCATGATCCTTTCAAAATGTCTGCATCTCGTCCTTCAGCCAAGAAAGAAATTCCTTGCTTTTTACTCTTTTTCGTCATATAAACAGACTCCGAATACTTCATTTTTTTCCCCCTCTTATGTTAGGGGAATGGACCACAAACCAGCCCTGTTGCTTGAAATGGTTAGTCACTGACATCCATTTGAAGAGGCCATTACCAAAAAAAAAAAAAAAACCTAAAAAACTCCACCTTCACCGGTGTCTTCCGCTCTCCTGTCATAAACCAGGTATCCCCCCCCAGGCTCCATCTGGCCACCCCGCCTCGTTCACATGTCAACAACACACCTTGAAAAGCTAACTGGTTACATCTCTTTGAATGTTCCCCAAAAGGGCGACTGAAGTTTGCCAGAAGAAAAGTGTGTAGCACATTTAAAACATTTAATTTGTCTGAACAAAAAACATTTTTAAAACGCGCAAATGTGGTACAGCTCAGTGGACAAACTGTGGGGGCGGGTTTCAGAAAATAACTTACAGCTCAAAAAAAAAAAAAAAAATCTGTAAAGGGGTGAGAGTCATTCAGCAGGCCAAACGGTATAAGCTTAGAGAGCTTGTGCATAACAACAAAGCATTTCATTATAAGCGCACACATTTAACCCCCAAAACTGCCAAGTAAACCCATGGTCTTGTCAACGAACAATACTGGCACGGCATATATTTATTTAACACTAAATTCACTAAGTTTTAACACTTATTACGGCAGTAAACACTGCTGGAATTAATAAGCTACGGTTTCTCTATTTCCAAAGTTTCTGAATAGGACTTAAAAACTGACTGTTCTTGACAATGGGCGTTAACACCCACACTGCACCGTGGGGGGGGGGGCTGGCTGGCTGACTGAGCATATCCCGCCGATTTCATATGTAAGCAATAAAACTTTGACGCACGGCTATGGTCTACCATCCTATCCCGAATGTTCTCAGTGCCTGCTGGGATACGGCTAACCCTCTAAAGGATAACTGGTAAGAAAGATGGATGGATGACAATATTATTAGGTCATATTACCATAACATAAGGTATTATAGTAATATTATGTGTCGAAGTACTTGACCGGAATGGAGCCATTAACTTTAAACAGATCCTCACCTATGAAAAGTTAAACACTTTCTTGAGAAGTTCAATGGCAGAGCAACGAAAGACTAGTGTTTATACCGTTAACGTTCATATAATGTGATACACACCACTGAACAGACGCGGCCATTAAGGAGGCCTGAATACTATCATAATAACTATGTGCCGCCATCGTCATGGCAACGGCGGCGATCCGCGCTGCTCCCGCTTGCCGGTGTTATTCTCCTTCCTGTTCTCCTTTTGTTTTGATTGAGGAGCACAATACAGGTCTTCTGTCCTCTACGCTGCGTTTCCTTGGAAACAAAGACGTTTCTTAAATAAATACGGGAGGTAGAAATCGGTCGTGTACAGTGTCACCTTCCCTGGCCAAAAGAAAACAGACCAGTTCATTGTAAACAGGGCCTCGACTTCCAGCAGTAACTAAATAATTACTTACGCCCCACCTTTTCCTTCCCAGAGGCACATCAATATACAGCTATAACACATCCACACACCACAAAACACACATATAGTACAGGAAGTATTTACCCAACCCCGGCCCCCCGCCCCCCGCCATATATAGATAAGCAATACAACACATTGCTGGAATATTTACATTTTACTTTATCTACTCCATATCTAGTCACCCAGCTCCTTCGTAGCAACAATAGTTAATAAAAAATAAACTGGAAAATTAGATGTCATGGCGAATAGGGTGAAGCAAAGTAACAGACAATCAGTTCTTTAGAATTCGCACAAAACGAACGGAACATGCAAACACAAGTTCATATTTCAGGTTACATTGCTCATCTTAAAAAAAATTACAATTGAAATAAACTTTATTGATCCCAAGGGGTAATTCTTGAATTTATAACTTTAACAAGTACACACACACAGACACAGACGATGCTATATATTTTTAAAAAATGCATTTTTAAATCCTGGTTTAATCATGGTCCTGCTGGCAGAGGCTACACTGAGCAGCAGGTGGCTTCCAGATTCAAAATTTCTAAGACAGCAGTAAACAAGACCAAAGTGAAGCAGGAGACACTGGGAATGACCAAAAACCAGCCTGGCAGAGAGCAGAAGCAACTTATCCAACAGTTTCTAATGAATCGTAGGATGCCATTAAGTGACCATCAGGAGGAATGGGAAGCATTAAGTGCAGGTGTGAAGTGCACTGCTAGGGCAGTTTGTATCAGGCTTCTAGAAGCAGGACTGGAGTCCCACAAAGCAAGGAAGAAGCCCTTCATTAGTGTGTGTGTGTGTGTGTGTGTGTGTGTGTACACATACGTTCATAGGTTCATAGATGCACACCCATAAATTGAGAAATGAGTGAAACAAAAAATTGTGCTGCGGTGTCTTCTTTTAATTTTCTTCCAGAACTGTGTGTGCGCTAAATTTACTGTGAATTTCAAAGACACATTATCAAATGAAAATATCTCCCAGTATCGTGAGAAAATCCAGTGTCTTGTGCATAAACAAGATGGCTCTCTATCACAAATTAAAGAAAACGGCCTTTTAAGGACCAAAACCGTACGGATGCAGCCAGTCTAAGTGTTGGTCAGGGAAGTCACAGGAGAGGCTAGTGACAAAAATGGAAAGTAACAAACTAAGAAAGAAAACAGCCCCTACGTCACAAGCGGCTTGGGTACCCCCACATTAAACATTTCTTTGTGGGAAGACACAAGAAGTTTCTGTGTAAAAGCCTGCGTGACACGGCGAAGAAAGGGTCCAGGGAAGATGTGATTAAGCATGTTGTTGACTGAAGAGACAGAGAATAAACACCTAGACTAACTGGTAATGCTTTGCATTGGGAACACACCCGATGGACAGTACCGAAATCACGTGGGGGAAATCATGTCAGGGAGGGCCATGAGGAAACCCCCCGTTTTATTCTGAAAATGACCTTGGAATAGAGTTTGGACTGATGCTTTAGTCAGGTCACTGACCCAACATACAGCCAGGATAGTGCTGGAATTACCAGAGGACAACAAAGTCGGTGCTTGGGAGTCACTGGAAAACCAGACCTCAGCTCAGCTGAGAATCTAACGGGGCGGCCGACCCACAATGCCCTACAGACGCTTGTGCATTTCACATTTTTCGAGAAGAATGCTATATGAAGCTGGCAGACTTACCCCAAGAGACTCACAAAAGTTAGTAATTATTACTGCCAAAATTCCGTATAATAAGCCAAGGCAAGACGTTTCAGCTTTTCTACTCTACTTAAACATTTTATTAAAAACTCTGAAAACACTGAGTAAATCCTCATGCTACATTTTAAGATTTTAGATTTTAATGGAGAATGTGATAGATGAACACTACACTGCCCCAAACAGACAATTCGACAAACAGATTTTGATATAATCAAATCCATGCTTTTTCATTTGAACTTAATTCAGACAATAATTATTTCCCACCATTTGATTATACTCTCATGACAAATAAGATTCACAGTCTTGCATGAGGTTATATTTCAACATAAAACTGGTTTTGATGAAAATAATGAATGATAGGGAAACAGAAAATATTCTATTCCCATGAAGACTGGTGAAAAGAAAAGGCCGCACTTTCAGCCTTTCCTGGAAGATAAGTACTAGAAATCTGATCTCTCCAGTACTTTATATTACGATTTTTTTTCTATCAGCGCCTAAGCTACAAGGCTTTTACCTGGTACACGTAGCTTTTGGCAAACTGTGAAACTTAAAATGCATTTCCTTTTAAAGGCGACTCAGTTTTGCAATTTAATTATAATGGTATTCTAAGAAGCATGGTGGTCTTATTCATGTACATAATTAATATTTTGTATTTTAACTAAACGGTGCGTGCAGGCGAAGGGTGACACCGTTTTTAAAGGAAAGGGGGGGGGGTAATAGGCGCACACACTTGCAAGCCCCCTAAGAGAGGGGCTCTGACGTCACGTTGGAACGGGAAGTCGGAATGGGCGGCCGGTGATGCACGCGTCACGCGCAAACGGGGCACATCCCAGCTTAGAGGGAAACGGGGACGTGAAACGCTGCCGCTTCCACTTTCGGAACAGAGACGCGTCGTGAATCCCAACATTTGCCAAAGATCTGG